TATAAGAACTATAAACATGCAAATATATAATAAATAACAACCACAGTAAAAAAGAGTGGTTGTATTTGTGGATTTACTTTGCTGCAGCAACATGTGTTGTTGAGGAGTACAACGGAACATTTAAGGGATCACCACCATTGGTGATGGGTGTAGGTGGAGAAGAGACATTGTGGCTGCGACTAGACCATTGCTCGACCCTCACCATAGTCTCCCTAGTTCCATTAAAATCTAACGAAAAATCCCCTCGTTACACACCAAACTAATTTTGCATCCAAACAAACTTTACCTTATGAGGCCCCACAAAACAATTAGTCTAATAAAATGAAAAAATTAAAACCTTTTTCAGAGTTAATTAATTTCTCACAGCTTTCATACATACCTGTTCTCCCCTGATCATCCATGGAATCAAGAGGAACCCCACTTGCCTCTAAGCTCTTAACATCATCCATGTCATTATATCTTGCAGCCTGTCAAAAAAATCATCAACACTCAACATAACAATTAATCATACTTAAAACTTAAGCATGCAAATGAACTTAATTTAACTTCATTTAATTTAATTTTGTTACATCAAGCAAGGCTTCGACGCTCTCTGACGTCGCTTTGGAGGGCGCTTGAAGGGCTGTGTTGGCCTCCGCCACAACCATTTGCAGTGGCAATCCTAACTTCAACCTCCGGCTAAGATAAATCAAAAGAGCAAAAAAATTTAAGGAGTTGTTTAAACTGTTATCAAGGATGCAAGGGCTAACAATATCACAGAATTCAACAAAAAAGGATACTCATAGGGGTTTAAACTGTTATCATAGGTTACTTAAAGCGGTTTAACCGGTTATCATATGTTACTGGTGATTCGCCGAAGGGCTACGTGCGCGGAGGTCAGGTTAGGGTTCAATTACTTCTCTTCTCTGCCAGCGTCGAGTGAGAGAGTTCAGCGAAAAGAAAATAGTGTACCTTGAAGGAGATTCGGCAGGGAAGAGGTTCGGCAGGGAGGAGGATCGTCGTCGCAGAGGTCCGTCACCACGGCGGAATGCGGAGGAGTGCGTGCGGCAGCGATTGCTCTTTAGGGTTCGTACTTTTCATTTGGTTCAAGTGGGAGAAACCGTTTAAACATTCTATTTGAAATATACGTATTTGACATATTCCAAATGTTTATATATATATATATATATATA